ACTTCTATTTAAAAGAAATTATTAATAAGTTCTTAAGGTAATCGACATCACAAATGGGTTAAATTTTGTAATTTTGGTGTTACCATAAAGGATTAGAGAAAGTAGGTTCACTAAGGGTTTGTAACTTTGTTATTTGAATCAATGATCAAATATTCATTAAAGAAAAGGCTAAGGTTATCACCACCATAGATTTTGAAAAGGACACTAATTTTATCTTAAATTTATCAATTTATAATTTTTTAAATAATTCATTATGATGTTTAAAAATATTTATTTATAAATTAAATGTAATATGTTAAATAATAAATAATAATTATTTTATTAATTATCAATTATTTTTTAAAATTAAATTAAAATGAAAATTTAACAATTTTAGTGATTAATAAAATTAATACATACTCATACCCTAAAGAAAGAAGTTATAATAAAGTAATATTTTATTAATTTTTTAATCAAAATAAATAATATATATTTTTTGTACCGAAGGAATTAGAGATAAAAAAAAGAGAAAATAAGAGCAAGAGGAGTTGAACCAATGGTATGAGTAAAAACCCCGTACAGTAACTATATGAATCACATATTGAAGTTTATAAATAAATAAATTACCTTTAATTATATAAATATATGCACTATAAATCATAAAATACAAGACCATATACGCTTGATTGACTAAAAACGTATTTACCAATTGTTACAATTTCAAAATGAGACTTGGGAAGGTGTGGATTATTAACCACTTATGTTGTATTGGGTTTAAAGTGATTTATATTCACAAATTTGTGATTCCAATTCCTGGTCAATGGATTTGATCTCCCTCAATAATTCAACTAGAAAATAACGTGTTTTAGTTACAAATCCAAGTGTATTTACTATTTAGCTACGGATCCTTTTTCCGCCACATAAAAGAAATTTTTTTAAAAAATTTTTTTATTGTTGTGTCAAATCTGAGATAATGAGATTCATATAATACTTGAGACTTGAAAGAAGACTGGGGCTGTCATTTACAGATATTTTGGTTGGAGCTTGGAATTGGTAGAAGATTGAATTGAGATTTGAGATACAAACTGATTATGATGTGACAACACTTTTGATTGCTTCTATTGTTGCTATCCTAAAAGTCAAGATTTAATGAAAGGAATTGCTTTCCATTTATCATAGAACCTGCCAGAGAAAAGAAGAAATTAGCTCAGACGATTTTTTTTTATAAAAGAAAAATATTTTATAGAATTGATTGTATATTAAAGATATGATTATTTTATATATTTATTTAAATATTTAAAAAAATTATTTTTATATTATTTTATTAAAAATATGTAAATAGATTTTTATAATAAATTATATTTTTAATATACAATTTATATCGAAAAACTTGAATCTCAATTTTTATTGAAAATAAACATCATTAGGGATCTTTATTTTTTTTTAAGAGAAAATGCTGGATTAATTTTGTTCAATTATTGAATTAAGGGTATTACCAAGAGATTTTGTATGGCTGAGGTTTTAACAACCAATTATTTTCTTAAGTTCATTAAATTTAATTGTAATTTTATTAATTTATAATTTTTTGAAACAATTAAGATATTTAAAATATTTATTTAAAAATTAATTTTAATATATTAAATAATAAATATTAATT